ACATAACCATCAGATGGTCAGATAGCAACAATCTTCAGTCAGAGGCTTTTTTTGATTCATTGCAAAACTGACTATTACTTGAGATTCTTAGATGATACGAGCTACTTAAACAACAACATTTATTTTCTTTTTGGGATAAATATTGAACTGAATTTATGTGGATTTGTAGGAGTATCTAAGTAGAGGCATCTGAATATAGTGGTAAGCCACATTTTTCTGATTTGTTCTTTTCTTCATGATTATCCATAACTTTGTGTTTCTCAAAAATGCAACAAAGTTTGTGGCTAATGCAAAGGGTGTAAATACTTTTTGAAGAGTATAGCTATGCATACAAAATCAAATGCAACTTACTATTAGATGAACATAAACAGTTTTATTTAATTTCACAAAGCAAAAGTGCACAAACGTCTTGCAACGCAATTTTAGAAACGGATCCTTGCGAGTTGATTTTTAGAAAATTTAAGCTGTGATTAGCGAACCACTGATGTGATTACATGCAACTCTCGTCTTGCAAAATATAAGCAAACATGGGTGTTATTATTCATCCATGTTTCGCCGCATGGCAACAAAAGACTGCTGTGACACCCTTCTATGTGCTACCGCTTTTCCTGAGGGCTTTCTCAAATTGAGTGTTTTGTTTTCACGGGTTTGTTTGTCTTTGTGAGGCAATGACATGATTTCTGGCTTACTCCACTATAAATATCCAAACAAGAATGCAGACGCGCCACAAACATGTTCACTTTTGTCCTGTTTTGAAACAAAGAGCACCTCAGGACAGAGAAAGCTTTGAAATTGAAGAAAACACATTTTACTAATGCAGCTTTCAGAAAATTTTGTATTATTTTTAAAATTTCTTGTAAAAAAAAAAAAGAACAAGTGTACAACCTCACCTTCACATTTTCACCTTTGAACTGGTGTGCATACCAGTGTGGCTGCTGTGAAACTGATCCACACACACAGGTGTAGCACAGTAACAATAGTCTGTTGTCAGGGATAAAAGTGGACGGGGGAAACAGCAGAACTAATATCAATTTTTAATGGTCATTTGTTTGTAATGGATATTAAATTATTAATGACATGTGCAATCCATTTTCAAGCTGTGGCAGATCACAGCAGCAATTTGAAAACAGAGTGCTGCCCACAATCCCGAGGACACTGTGCAATAATATTACCTCGTTAGCCTAAGAGGCTAATGCTGCACAAGTACCCCTCTGTTACAATCCGTCCGGATTGCTTGTTTGTTTGTCTCTTGAAGCACGCGGGGTGCAGGGTGGTGGCGGCGGTGGAGGGGGGGGGGTTCAACAGAAACCGTTTGTTCTCTGTTCCACTTGCTAAGCAGATTTAATGAATCCTCTACTTAATCGAAGAGCTCGGCCTTTGTTTCGCTTTGGCCGTGCCGTCACATTTGTTGGGTACAGGTTTCTCTGGCCAATTGTCGGAAAACGGACGCCGTTTCATCCGGGGTGTAGCATGCGCTGTAAATTTGCTTTCGCCCTGCCGAGAGGCCTCATGGAGTTTGGTCCCTTGTCTCCGTTTTACTGCCATCTGAGGAGGACCTCCGGGGTTCAATATTTTCCTTCATCCGCTCGACCCCGAAGCCTCGCTTTCTCCCACTGAGGCCCTTTTAAGGGAGACAGAAACTCCACAACAAAGCCTGAACATACTTCCAGTGGGGAAACATCAGGGAAATACAGAAGTTACACTGACTGAGTCAAGTTAGAAAGGAATTATTGAGAACATTTATGTTTTCCCTGCAATATTTATAAGCAATAAAAGGGGCAAAGTATGACAAACATAACCTTAGAGTGCGACAGTAAGCATGGGCCAGCATTAAGTTCTCACTGAGATAGGGGTCTGCAACTTGTTGCTCTTTGGACTTTCCACAATAACTCTCAGTAATTTAACTTTAACAAACTGAGTTTTTACTTATTATTATTTGAGAATAATTGCTTATAAACCTCCACAACTAAATGACACAAAAGATTTTTTGTTAGAACCATTTCTTCCATTTCTGTTATTACGTAGAAACTTTTTACATCATTATTTTATTTATTATCCATTTTACATCATTATCTATCTTTTAGTGAAAGTTTCTTCTTTCTTTTAAAAATAATACATTTCCTCTTATAAATATGTTTTGAAAATTATTAGTTACATAGTCATAAGGTAACATTTGCAGCCAAAGATGAGTTTTATTTAGCTGGACTAAGAGCAAAAATGGCCTTTTGGGTTGCTAAGGTCACATATATTACTATATTATCATATCATAAAGCAACAATTGTTCTTATTTTGAATAATATTACACTTATTATAATGTAATTAAAAAAATATATTTTTAATTAATGACTTTCAAACTAACATGTAGAATATTACACTGTATTACTGCCTTTTCCAACAGGCAGGTTTGTGTTTTTATGAAAATGATACAAATGTTTAGCAACCATCTTTCAGCCAGCTGTCTACCACTGTGCAGCAACAGGTTGGGGAGGGACTGGAAATTCTAGGCATTCCAGAAATTTATCTTACATCTAAAGGACTTTAAACCATAGGGGGAAAGGTATGCAGCTATATTTTTGTGATTTTGAAAGTGTAAATGTTTAAAATGTAAGTAATCCAGCACTGCTCACTGAACTGTGTCTGTGTGAGAGTGTGTACTTTTTCTGCAATTCAAAATTTGAATATTTTCCCAATCTGCCATTATTCTGGGGGGTGAAGAGCTGAAGAATCCTCACTATTGTGTTTTTATTTCCATCTGATTTCAGCTTCAGTCATTCCTCTTCCTCTGAAAGAGGAAGTTGAAAAGCTTTCACATTTACTTTTTGTTTCAAGTAATCCCTCATCTCCAATTGGAAATAATTAAACTTAACTTATTAGTTTCTTGTAGATATCAGACCTTCCATCAATGTGCACAAAATATATTTGATCAAAGCAAAAATGACTTTACATGTCCTCAGGATGAGTACTGAAAATGCTGAGTTAGCGTCTTCTCTTTGAGTCACAAGGTTTCTTTGATAGCCTCAACAAAGATGAACTAAAAATGTCAGAAATAGCTTGTTTAGGGTTTCACAACAGAACATCTAAAAGAAACAAAATTAGATTTAATGGTGTGAAAATCGAAAAGAGGAAAAAGGAAAACCAGATAGAGAAGCCAGCTGCAACAAAATGGAAAAACCCAGGAGCATAAATAGTTGTGACAATCTGTGGCTGGGGAAAGACCAACATAGCGCAGCTTCATGACAGATTTGAAAAAAAAAACATAAATGATCAGTTTCATTCATCGATTCGGGTTTTTTCCACCTGATTAGTTCTCTATGGGATCTGTACAAAAACGTGCAATGAAACCACTTGCAATAAGTGGTTTCAATATCAGCAGCATATATCTGTCCAGAAACAAAAACTCTTGTGGCAACTCTTCAAAATGTTCTCATACTAAATGGAAAGTCTCACATGCTTCAAAATGTTCTCATACTTTCAGAAAACCTCACTTAACTGCATCACTGTTACCTTATCAGATGCACCTTTGGTGATCAGTTTAGAAAAATTTGCTGTAGAGATAAATTTGACGCGTCATCACTGAACAGGACGCCGCCGCGGTTTGTGTTGAGAAGCTCTGACTCATCACCGCAATGAAAAAGGATGCAGAGTTATCATAAAAATGTTCACAATTAGGTAATAAATGGGGTTTTGGACTTTCTTCCTCATCTAGTCAGCCTTCACTCAGCAGTGATTTAAAACCTCTTCTGCATGCACACACCCATTTGATTTCAGGAGCACAAAAAAATGAACAAAGCAAAGTCATGCTGTCCTCAATGCTTGGAGCTGGCAAAACATAGGAGGTACGAATGACAAAGGAGGATCGTGTAAATAGTCTTAACATAAAACTGTAGTTTTTCTTTAACAGCAGGTGGAAGTTAAAACATCAAATCTACCCCCAAAAAATAGAAATAAATCTGATCCATGCAGTCAAGAGCCTTATAAACACATATTTGACTAAAATAAATAGTTTAGTTCTAGAAATCCACACATTAGGGTTTTCCTGGCATGTTAAGGTCTGATCTGCTGATTCCATTTTTGAAGGATTAATGACATAAAAGAACAAAGATGGCTGCAGTTTCTTTGACAGAGATATTAGCCTTAAATCCCACTTAAAGAAGTGACTACAAGATCACCAAGTGCAGAACATGCAGCTCAAAACAGACAACTCTACATTACCTCACTTTTATTAAACTAAAGAAAGTACAAAGTATCTGTTGGCTGATGTGTTAATAGGCCAGAAATTATGAGTGTTTATACATGTAATAGATAAATCTTTATGTTATCTACTTGTAGATTGCCAATCAGAGATGATCAGTTGAAATCTGACTGCAGTGCTGATTGACTGGTGCATCTCTAATTTCAATGTCCTTCACATTACCATTACAAATTTAAACAATCGTCCAAATATCTTTATTTTTGTTTACTTTATAAAGCTTTTGTCCACTTTTTTGGACCAAAGTCATGGCAGCTCAAAACTCCACACATTAGCTGAAGTTATGTTATTAAGAAATAACCCAATTCTAACATGATACAATAACCACATTTTAAAAATGTTTAAAACATCCAGTCATGATTGCTGATTTTACACCAAACAAAAGGGATGCATCAGCTGAGTTTTCATATAGAAACCAATGTGAGCAAGGAAGACTGCTATAATGGTGCCAAACTGTACCAGTGACTTTGTGTATCAAAAGAAAAAAGCAATCCCAACCAACATTGAAGCAGGTAAAAAGTACAACTTTCCTCCTTTGTTAAATCCTGAATTAGCTACAATTGTGCTTCTATACCCGAGACACAAACTGGTCTGACAAGAACATGAAAATCTCTCAAATGAGCTAAAAAGTCTTGAGATGAATCATTGTCCCGATCAAAAAACATTTCTATGAGTTTGTGACTCCAGCAAACTACAGAGAGAAACATAGCCAACTACAAAACAGAGAAAACATGCGAGAGCGGCGAACATTCCCAGAGTGGCCTGCCAACAAAATTTCTTTAAGAGAAAAACAAACACATCCAGGAGATCACAAATAAACCCAGAACAACATCTACTTCACTTGGCCCAAAGGTCACTATTCCTGACTCAATCAAACAACTGACGACCCAAAAGAAACAAAGGCAAATCTCACATTTCCAATAAAACGTCTTGATGGCTGAACCTCAACATTTCAATGAAAATATTCTGAGTTGGACTATTTGGAAGATGTGCACTGCATTACATCTGGGGTAAAACTAAGACAGGATTTCAGAAAAACTAATTTATTTGTTAATGACGCCAACATATTAAGCTAATGGAGTGGCTTAGTTAAAGTTGGTAAAGGTAAAGCTGATCTCAGACACTTAATGGCAGTTGTTGCCACAAACTGTCTGTAGATTTAAGGGGCAACTTCTTTTCTCTTTTTTCTTATTTTACATAGGCTTGGAGTAAATTGTTTCAGCGTGACAAAAACTAAAACAGAATAAATCTGTAAGTAATATTTCAAGCCTTTGCTTATCATAATTTTAATGATTGAGCTTACATATAACTCCAAATTAAATGTCTCAAGTTTTGAAACTTACATGTGTACATTTTGTATGTTATGCAGATGCCATATTATGGCTACACAATCATGGGGAAGACTGCTGACTTGACAAATGTCCGTACGACAAGGAGGGGAAGTCACAGAATGTCAGCAAAAAAAAGCTGGTTTTTAACAAATTGCTTTATCCAAGCATATTTAAGGAAGATTAAGTGCAAGGAAAAACTGTGGTATGAAAGGTTGCACCAGAAACAGGAATAACTGCAGCCTTGAGAGGATTGTCAAGCAAAATTCAATCAACCTGAACTAAGGAGCAAAAGAAGTGGAGGATCTAAAAATCCTCTTTTTAGATTAAAATTAAGTTTGTATTTCATTTGGAAACAAAGGTCCCAGAGTTTCAAGAAAGAGTGGAGAGGGTCAGAATCCATGTTGCCTGGAGGTCACTATATCCAAACAATCAGGACTTCCATTAAATCTCAACAGAACCACAGGCTGATCCCCTCCTGCCACTCCGCCTTGATGCAGAAAGCAATGCAGAAGGGCCACAACCATACATTCAGTCCACAGAAATGAGGATACTTTTCAGAATTTCTGTTTTAAAAAGTCTTTTTTTATTTATCATATGTAAAATTAACATATAAGAAATAAAGGCTTTTAAGAAAAAAAGCTAACTATACAATGAGTTTCAATAACTGTAATAATAAGCAACCACAAACTAGGGGAGCACCGATTGCAGTTTTCCGGCTGATCACCAATCTTTAAAAAGCTTGACCTGCTTTGACTGACACATAACTTTTTTGCCTGAAAAACTGCTAAATATAGCAACAAAGTTTCTAAGTTGACAACAGTCTGTGTGTTTATTAGTCAGCCCACATTCACAGCAAAGTAAAAGTGGACAGTAGTTGATTTCTAGACCTTTGCAGATGAGATCTGTGGAAAAGTATCAGATGGTGGTTGATTTTCCTAAATCAAGGAAATCTAAGTTGATTTATCACTGCGACTTTACAAAACATATTCAACTTTTTCATCATAGTGCTTTTTTAAAAATATACCCAAATATGGAGACGAAAACTTGGAACCTCATCCAGACTTTTTGCAATTCTGTTTTTCCATTTTTGCAATGGAATATTTTCCATTCTGAAAGAAATAATTATTGAATAATTTCTACATTTATGTGCAAGATTATGTAATCAAATATATATTTATTTGCAGGTTTCTTATGCAGCTTTATCAGCTCTGACAATACTGTGTATTTCAAAATATTGCTGTTTCTCCACAGTTTCAATTCTTTGCAAACTCATGGATGTTGGGGATGGGAGGCAAACAGTTTACGCAAGAAAGAAGAAACAAAAGAAATTTTCAAAAAATCGAAATCAGGCTGTTGAATGTGCACAACATGAGGCCTGCAAACATGTCTGTCATTTCGCTCCATAGTCTCCAGAGAAAAGCAGGCGAGATGCGGTCCCACAGGTTGATTTATCGCAACGTCACAAGTAGGATATAAAGTGCACTTACGTAACGTCTCAACTTTTTTTCAGGAGGAGACTTTCGCAGCCAGCCTGAACACACCACCTCTCCCCCACTCATCTCTGCTCCCTGCGCGCCGGACTCCCAGCGGTCGGTGGCCGTTTGGCTTCGCCTGATCTGGGGAGTGTCTCCGTCCGCCTGGAGTAAACAGAAAAAAAGAAGAAACACAGTGCTGTGATTGAAACAGGAGAGGAAAAAAAAGTTTAAAAGCACTTTTCTTGTCTGTGGAAGCCACACAGACGCGGTCACTCCTTCTTTCCAAAAAGTCGACTCACCGACAGAGAGCAGGGTAGTTTCTCAGAAATGAACACAACAGATTCCCACTAGTTGTAGTCAAATCCACGCACTATTTCCCACGCTTGGAGCGGGCGCAGTCCTCCTCCGTGTCGCCTTTTAGACGAAGATAAACACTACCTCGCGTACTTTGAAACGCTAAAGCGACAAACAACAAGGAGTCTAGTGAAGTTTTTCTGTTTGTTTGTTTCCTTAAATATAACGTCCCATGCTAATTCCAGTCCAGAGTGGAGCGAGAAATCCCAGTTGGCGAGGTCGGCTGCAAACGTCCCACAGCGTACCGCTGCATAATGCTCGATTTAAAGCAACCTTTGGACGTAAACACAGCGATTACACCGAGCTTCTCTAGCAGTTTACTCCCATGGTTCCTTAATTGTGATTGACAGTCCGACTAAAGTGTGTCTTTTCCCTAAACTCAGTCTCCACTAGAACATGACTGTTAAGCAAGCTGACACTAAAGCAAGAGAGCCCGGACGTTTGAATGTCGGCTTTCAAAATAAAAGCACAGCGTCAAAGGGTTAGGTTAGCGAATATTTCCCTTGTCGAACAATGTTGGCTAATATGAATCATCTAAGCCGCAACTAATACAACAAAAGAAAGAAACTATTCAATACATAAACAAAACTAAAAAAAAAATAATCGTAACAATAGAAATATATATATATATATATATATATATATATATATATATATATATATATATATATATATATATAAAACCCGCTTTTCCGTTTCATAATCGACATAAACAGGATATTAAAATTACTGTAAAATTACTACAAACTACAAGTTTTATAATAGATCCAATTTTACAGCTCAACTTGAAATACTCATTAAAGTGTGCTGGTCTTTTCTTTTCCTGGTCTCTATTTAAATATACTGCCCTGATGTAATTATGTTTTAGCATTAAAAAAGAAAACTGAATGACTTCCTTAGAAGAATTTAACAGTAGAGACTAGTTTTATTTTGTACATGACTTCTTAACGTGTTACTATTATTATTTTGCAAATCCCAATCGGAAGTTGCATAAGTCAAGCACTTTAACTTGACCTCGCTTCTTCAGAGGACGAACTGGAGAGGCGGCAGCGTGCAAGGAAAACTGAAGATTTTAAAAACTATGGGACATGTAGTTCAGTGACTGCCTGTTTTCTGCCACCCCAGCTTGAACCTATAACATGGGAAAACTGCCATTTGGTAATTAGGACACAAGGTAACAGAGACAGGTCAGCTTTGTGCGAAAACACAAAACGGGATACGGATAGTTTAAAAAGAAACAAAGAATGTTCCCAACCTCTCTGGTACAGCCTCAGGTGTCCCAACAGAACCTTGCACGTCTAAACTACAATATCCACAAGCGCACGGTGATCCAGCGAGAACAATGCAACGATTGTTTTAGTTTTGCAACATCTCTGTTTAAGTAAATCGTTTTGAGCAATGCATTTTACAAAATCACAACAGTTTTCGCAATGCACATGTAAAGTGGCTGACATGCAATTTCAAATAAACAAATTTACTTTATCGTATCTCTTATTCAAATAGCTACTTAACAACTGCAAAGTCAACAGATCTCATACAGACTAAACATTTAACCAAATATTCCGTTTCAACCGACTGAGCAAAATGACTTGACTCATCTATAAGTGATCCAGTCCACTGCCAAAAGCCTGGTCCCTTCCCCTCTGACTGGTATCCAAGGAATGTTAATGGAATGCTATTGTTACAAGAACATCCACTGAAAGGACACAGCACTTCTTTAAACATTGTTTATAATATTGTGGTAAGCCTGAATATTAGGCTCTGTTTGACACATCAGTCATTCTGGTGAAATAAATGTCTTCAAATAACACACATGTAATATGTGTGTTATTTGGCACAACAACATGGCTGTATTTTTGCTGCTTCAACAACAAATTAGTATAAAATATAAAAAAGTAAATACAACTTTTTAACATCAAACATGTATATAAAAATTATTTAAGAGATTTTTATAGCAGAAAACCGGTCATACAAAATGATCACAAAGAAAAACAAAATAAATACCACATAGGAAAACCACAGGGCCGTAACAGCACTACTGTCTGCAGAGATTTAAATCAGTCAAGTTTAATAAAGACAAAAGTGACACAAAACACTGAACAAGTTAAGAAAACTGACTGCAAACACAAACTGAATATTGAAATAAAGAAGTATTCAACTGGGACGCAAATATTTGTTTCTTTATCTGTTCTGGGAACAAAGCCTTGTGTAGAAGCTGTTTCTACATGGCAAGGGGGGGATATGTACTTGTGATTTCCCAGTTCCTTTTTTCAGTCCCCGCTTTGTACCTACTTCCATTTGTGCAAAATAGTTTTTGCAGCCAAAGCAAAAAAAAAAAAAAAAAAAAATGCAGAAAACCCCCAGCTTTTTTTTGACAACATAAAGTTTGTTTTTTTTCTTCGTT